ATAGTAAATATGTTGTGTCATTTCATGGACCTTCATGGACATATTATAGATGCATTTAATCACAATTTGCATTTAAATCAAATGCCGAAGAAAAAACGAAGAAATCGAACATAATCACTTTGTTTCGATAAATTTTAATGATAAATTTAAAGATTCGTTAATGCCAATTTGCGTCGTCCAGCCGAATTTTATTATTGAAAAAATCATTATTCCACATAATTACATCCAACAAATTATTCACTATATTTACGTAAAACCATTTACCCTTTTTATTTGCATCAACTAACATTTTTGCCACATTATTAGTAGTTCCGAATTTCTTGATCGATAAATATCCAAATTAATAAGAAAGAATTAGAAAAAGAAAAAGAAAAGAGAGAAGATCAATGGTCAATATTTAATCAGAGCCATCCACGTCCACTTCATCAGATTCTCTCTCTCTCTGTTAAGAAGATTCCTGCCTCTCGCGTTCGTTCTTATCCAGGCCAGCTCTGCTTCACCGTCGCAATCTCCGTCTTCTCCATTAGATCCAACACAGAGGCTCTTCTACATGAAATTCGGCAAAGAGTTTCGTACTCACCTCGAAGAAACTTTACCTGAGTGGAGAGACAAGTTCCTTTGCTATAAACCTTTGAAAAAGCTTCTCAAATATTATCCTTACTCTTCCGATCACCTCGATTCGCGTCCGGTATTCGCTGACACCACTAACATCTCCTCCGCCGCAGACGACGGCGATGTGGCTCCCGGCGTTAGGCCTACGGAAGATCTCCAGGGTTCGTTTGTGAGGATACTTAACGAGGAACTTGACAAGTTTAATGACTTTTACGTTGATAAAGAAGAAGATTTCGTTATCAGATTACAGGTTTTGCTTCCTCACTCTCATCGAATCTGTTCTATCTTCAGATTGGATTTTAGGTCAAGTTAGAAATTCCTTAGAACTTGGTTCATGATTCAGAGCTAAACAAGTGTGTAGAATTGGATCGTTCAATAGGATGATTAATCTCGAATTCTAGAACAAAATTGCCAGTAGTTGATCTCTAATCAAATTGGATCTAGTTTCTCTGTGCTTCAATTAGATTCAATAGCCTGGTGAAGTCTTCTTATGGTTACATTGGAACCAATTTATTTGCTCTGTGGTTTATCACAATTGAGATCTAATTACTTGGAAATTGTGGTCTATGATCCTTGGTCAATGTTCATCTTCTTGCTCTGCTTCTTTGAAGACATATGCAGTCATTTAAAGCCCTAATTGAATAGTGTATGTTCATCACTTTGCGTACAGGAGCTCAAGGAAAGAATCGAGCAAGTTAAAGAGAAGGACAGAAAGAATGGGGAATTCGCATCAGAAAGCGAGTTCAGCGAAGAAATGATGGATATTCGCAGAGACCTTGTTACCATTCATGGCGAGATGGTGCTCCTGAAAAACTACAGCTCCCTTAACTTTGCAGGTATGATATATCTTTATTAGAAAACCAAATCTTGTTACACATTACTGTATGCTAAAAACATCTTCGATTCTAGGACTTGTCAAGATTTTGAAGAAGTACGATAAAAGAACAGGTGGACTTCTACGTCTGCCTTTCACACAGCTTGTTCTCCATCAACCTTTCTTTACAACAGAGCCCCTTACTAAGTTAGTCCGTGATTGTGAGGCCAATCTTGAGCTTCTCTTTCCTTCAGAAGCTGAAGTTGTAGAGTCTTCCAGCACAGTGCACCCACACTCAAGCTCACATCATCACAACTCCCCAAGAATCTCAGCCGAGACTTCCTCAACTCTCGGCAATGAAAATCTTGATATATATAAGAGTACACTCGCTGCAATGAGAGCTATAAGAGGGTTACAAAAGGCTAGCTCGACGTACAACCCATTATCATTCTCATCGCTTCTTCAGAACGAGGATGATGAAACGGTGACAGCTGAAAACTCTCCAAACTCTGGGAACAAAGATGATTCAGAGAAGGAAGATACTGGACCTTCCCACTGATCAGAAGAGAATGAATGATGCTCCTTTTGATCAAGATTTTGAGATTTTGCTTCTTGATATCACCCTAACTTTTCATATATTAACACATTTTACTCCTTCACCTTTTGCAGAGCACAGCTTCTGTATGCATTTGAATTGTAGTATAGTCGTTCATAGATTTTCAATGAAAATTTTCTCCATGGTCTCAACCTTGTCTCATTTTGCAAATTCGTTCGAAAAATCTCAAGAACTGAAATCGTTCAGCCGTTTGATCTGTTCACCAATAATCGGAACAAGAACAAGAGCCTCCCTTGAACTGATGAAATCTATTTCTGTCTCTGATGATGATTTCTCGGTCATAGACCTTTGAAACAATCTTCATAGCCGAATGACAATCCCGACATATCCTCAGATTCTTGAAGACAAGAAGAGGTGTCCTCGGTTTTGTTTCCAGAAGCCCGAAACAGACAGCCAGTTTCTCACTGTGACAGCACAAAGCTTGCTCTTTTTCCTCCAAGTCACCCTCCGAAGGAGAAACCAGGCCAGAGATATCAGGGACATAACCAGCTGATCTTATCCGTTCAATCACTTCATTCAACTTCAAGTAGACCTCTTTCGTTCTCGGGTGGGATCGATCTCCTGAACTAAACCGATGTACTGAGTCATTAACATAAATGGAACTCAAACCAGGTATTTTTCTGATGCCTCGGTTTCTCAGACTTCCCCTTAACCCATCAGCAATATCACTCCTTCCTTCTGCAACATACATGTTTGACATAAGTATTTGGTACTCTGTGTGGCCTGGACTCATCTGAATAAGCTCTCTTTTAATTCGTTCGGCTATCTCCAGCTTTCCATGGACACTACACGAGCCTAGAAGCGAACCAAGGACAACTTCATTCGGAGGCACTGGCATTTCCCTCATCAATATCTCTGCTTCTTCAATACGACCAGCTCGCCCCAATATATCTACCATACATGCATAATGGTCAACCTTAGGTTCCAAACCATAGAACTGGAGGCTGTGGAAACATCGCCACCCTTCATCTACCATCCCCAAGTGGCTGCAAGCACTTAAGAGAGCAGTGAAGGTTAAGTCATCCGGCTTCACCTCTCTTACCATCTCTGGGAACATGTCAATCACCATTCTACCTTTCCCGTGCATTGCTAACCCGCTGAACAAAGCATTCCATGTCACCACATTCCTCTTACGCATCAATCTGAAGACTTTAATGGAAGAATCTATGTTTCCACATTTAGCATACATATCAACCAATGCCGTTCCCACCATAACACCATCATAAGTTTCTTCCTCCCCCATCATCATTGCCTTTTTCAGTGCATACACATGAACCCATCTACCAATTACCAGGTTTCCCGATTGTGCACAAGCCGATAGCATCGAGCAAAGGGTGACGAAGTTCAAACCATGCCCACATCTAAACACCATCTCTGCCAGAAGCTCCAATACTTCCCTTGTAAACCCAGCTCCCAAATACCCAGCAACCATAAGCGTCCAAGCAACAACATTTCTCTCAGGCATTTCGTCAAAAACCTCTCTTCCTCTCTTCAACCCCTCCCATTTCACAAGAGTGTCCAAAACCACCGTCCATGAAACAACGCTCTTCTCCTCTAACGCCTGGAAAATGCGTTTGACTTCACTCACAAACCCACATTTCCCATACATATCCATTAAGGCATTACAAACCTTTACACTAGTCAAAAATCCCATCTTTACAGCAACCCCATGCCCTTGTTCACCGAACCTCAGATCTTCGAGCTTGGCACACACGCCAAACAAGCAGACTAAAGAAACATGATCAATCTCTACTCTTTTCCTTCTCATTTCCACGAAGAGCTTCATCGAATTAACCAACAATCCAAACCGGGAAAAAGAGGATAACAAAGTTGTCCAGTCCACATTGTCTTTATCTGACAGAGGAATTTCGTCGAACAGTTTCTGGGCAGTAGCTATTTCACCAGAGGATGCATAAAACTGAAAGAGCGCGTTGCTGAGGTACGACCTCGGAGCTTTCTTCAATCCAGAAGTGGTTAAAACAGCGTGCAATTCCCTGCCGGGATGGAGAAACGAACGGTGAGCGCTCTGTCGGAGAAGGAGACGAACATTTTGGTAGGATAAGCATTTCATAAGATTATGATCAAAAAGCTCGTCCCTTATGTCCTATAACTGATAGTCTGATAGAATCTTATCTCTTTTTTTTTTAAACCAAATAGAATCTTAGAGTTATGGCGTTAGATCTCGTGAGTTCGATTTCCCCGGGAAACAAACAGAAATTTGGGCTCTCACGCGCCTTGATACAAGTATCGAGTATGAGAGACTTATTAGATAGAGCGCGTGGGCTAATGTTTTTATCTTTTGTCCAGTTCAACATTATTTTACAGATGGAAAAAATGTTTTATCCACATTTACATAAGTGACATAACAAAAGTTTTGGCTTTGATCTCTCATTATATTAGTAGACTATTAGTAACTGCAAGGATACAATCATTCAAATAGAAACTAGATTACTCACAACTACATATTTTTGAGAACAGGACGTTTCTGGTGATAAAACCTGATGTAAATAACTATATCCACATTTGGTAAAAGTCGAATCGTCACTGACAAAGACAAATACCAAAAAAATAAACGATAAATAGAGATTGTCCAGAGTCTTCATTTCATCAATCTACAATTCTCCACGTCCCCACCAATCAATCAGCAACATCATTTTAGATTCGTTTAGGGGTCCATATTAAGTGGGTTTACGCGTATTCTTAAAAACCCTCCGAACAAAATCTAAACACAAATACACATAGCTAACTATTTGTTCATATTTCAAACATATAGTATAATCTAAGCCATTCGGTGACAGCTTTATGAAAAGGACATGTGGTGGTTGGATTTTTTGATACTACAATACGAACAATCACAGATAATTCACATGGAACAGATATGCCAAAACACGTCAAAGAGAAAAAGCTTAAATTGTTTTTCCACAGATAATCCGAATACAACAAACACACTATCCTTTGTTCAACAACTGATCCAGCTCATTCACTTGCAACTAAACAAGAAAATTTCAGTAATTTAATTTCTCAAATAAACCAATTACAATCTTTTTCAACAATTAAACAAAAGATTAAAAACCAACAATCAATCCAACATTACAAAGAGAAAAAGAGAAACTCAACTAAATTTAAAAGCTTTCCCTGAAAAGAATTTTCGATTCAACTAAAGAACTTTGAGACTGGTCACCACTACCACATCCTTGAGATCACATCCCACATTGCCGGGAAAGCGAAAAGAGATACCGGAATCATGAATTGAGCGAAACCTGTGACCATTGAAGCTGATCCAATGTTCTTGACAGGTGCAGATTTTGGTGGAGGAGGAAGCTTCTCGACTTTAACAGCTAGCTTCATGCCACCATAACAGCCACCCTTCCCATCAAGAAGGTAGTAATGTTTGGTCTCGTTGAGAGTGACAATGTCTCTCCCAGCTCCACGTGTCCAGTTACGTATTGGGTGGTCGGCGATACAGCCTTCATAGTCAGTCTTGTTCACTTCAAGAATGTTGTGTTGGTTTCTGTCGTACACGAAATCTGACAAGAAGAGACCACAAAACGTTTAGTCCAAAGATTTGACACATTCTTGATTTGAACCAAGACCTTTTACTTATAAAGGAGTAAGAGATTGGTTATAAAATCACTATGAGCTATAATGAAAATGTTCTGATTCAAGATTTCAGCTTTAACTTAGTGGGACACTGTTTATCAGACAGAAAGAGAGAGACAGAGAGAGAGAGGAATGTAATGATTCAGACAACCTTAAGAACCAGATCTGAACTAATTAGGAAACAATTTTGGAAGAAAAAAAACCTGAATCAATTCAAAACTGTCTGAACAGACACAAAATTGATGACCTTTAAAGATTTGAAGGAGCATTGTAGAAACTTGGAAAGCGAACAACTTTGGGTATGAAGAAGTTGAAACTGTTACTAGATTTAAAACGAAAGCCGTTTCAAATCAGATCTGATATAAACAGATCCGAGAAAGAAGAGACAGAAGAACGTACAGAGCCAGTCTCCGAGGTAGAAATGCTTGCCCTGAGCCCAGATGGTGTAGTTAATGTTGGGGTTCCAAAACTTGTTCTCTCCGACTGTATACTTCTTCGCCGTCACTTCCGGCATCGGCGCCGCCACTAGAAAAGCTAGCGCAACCGCCACAATCAACACCGTCAATCTCGCCATTTTTCTCTCTCTCTCTCTCTCTCTCTCTCTCTATAGGGATGTGAGTTGCGCAATTTGTGATTTAGAGGCGGACTAGTGGGGTTTTCATAGCCGATTTTTATTTACTTTTTTCAACTTTCTCTTAGTGAGTAATGAATAAAATATGTACACAAAAAAAGAAGAGAGAATTAAATAAAAATACTATAAATTCAAAGTTTTAATAATGTTTTATTTCCTCAACCGCGTTTTCTTTTCCACGATGGAAAGACTTTTGGTGCAAGAAAATTCCAAAATTAATATAAAAAAATTGTTAAAAAGAAACTTAACAATTTCCCTTCAATAAATGTTATATTCTGTTATTTAAATCTGGTATTAATTGAGCTATATAATACAACTAGCTTAAATTACTGATTTTTTATTTATTTCAAAAGTTATTTTTATTTTATTTTTTGGTATCACTATTTTTACAAATATAATAATTTCTCAGATTGTGGAAAAATACAGTCAAGTTTGAGCTGACAACAAAGCATGCTTTATTTTAAAGAAATCCAGACATATCCAGAACATCACGCTCTATGTCTAATAACATTATTATTTTTATTTTTTTTTAATAATTGTTATTTCAAAATTATCAGACAGATTATACGCTTTTTGCATGTGATGATGATATGGTTTTCAATGAACGTTCCACACTTTTCTTCTCTGCCTCTCATTGGTTCTTCGATTTTCCGATTCACACATTTGTGGATTTAATTTGCTTCACGGATAAAATCTACCGAATTCTTAAAACATATTTGAACTGGATCTTGAAATGGGCTTTAAAATCTGTTACTAAAGGTATATGAGCCCTTTGTCCAAAACAAATGGCTCTATGAGCCCATATCTTACGTATATCCTTTTGGTTATCCAACTAGCTTAGCCGAGGAAACCGGTACCGGGTTGTTTCGGTTTAGAGAAGAACCAGAAAGGCTTTAAAATATGAACTGACGATGATCAATAGCAACAATCATGTTATTATTGTTTGAATAAAAAAAAATCGTGTTATTGTTATCAGTGGAAGTGAATACAAAAGCTAGTAGGATTCATTAGAGCTTTTTTGTAGATCATAAAAGGAATTTAAAAAGAAAGCTTAATTGAAGAACACCAAGATCAAATGATTCCAGCTTAATATCATAAATAAAGAGAGTAGCTCAATGACATAAACTCATACTTTTGTCTAAATGTCATAAACTCATAATTAATCTTTACATTTTTTATGATGATATATTTTTCAGAAGCAATAAATAAATTAAATTTAATAGACATACTATCTATATATACATTTTTGGATGACTTTTAGCAAATAAATCCTGGAGTTGGAATGTATTTACGGATGAATGCCATTGGCATTAATTATTTAAATTTGAAAAATATTAATTAAAGATATTACCAACACGATTTCGAGAATCATAAATTCATATATTTCTTAATTTTCTGAGTCATTAATGTGATAATCTTTAGGAAATATTTCTCTGTAAAAAAAAAATCCACATTAATGAAGGCATTAAAATCGACACTAACAATTAAATTATTTAGATATTCAATTATTTTAAGATTCTTATATCTTATTTGATATTTTTTTTTAATATCTCATTCTTTAATTACTGCATTTAGAATTTATTGGTTGTTACCTATTTTTTGGTGAAATTTATTGGTTGTTACTTAATAAGTAATTATGGTGCGTTTATTTTAGTTAATATCTAATTTAAAGGATTTGTTTTCTTTTATTATTAATAAACGAATAACATGTATAGAAATAAAAGATTTTTCTTGCGACTCCATAATAAAAATATTAAACTCTTATTTTCTACATTTCTTACACATAATATCCTCTTATTCAATAACAAAAAATATATATTGCATATTTTTAAAAATATTTATAATATTTAAATTATATAAAAAGTTTGTAATATTAATATTATTTCAACTCTATACAAATTTAATATATATGTATATATATCTTATGGGAACCATTTAAAAGAAATTTTTAAATTGACTTGAATTATATAGCTTTTAAATAAAAGTATTATTAAAAAGAAAAATAACTAAATGATGTTTAATTTCACGGGACGGGTAATATGATGGGACGGGTTTGGGTTGATATTTATAAAAGATAGTATACCACGGGTGAAATCCTAAAATTAACAATCAAAATAATCTATCAAACAAATTACATTTTGATTTTTTTAAGAAAATATAGCCCCGCGGTGTACCGCAGGTTAAAATCTAGTTTGAAATTTTATAATTGGACTCAAGATACCTTTAAAAATAACACGATAGAACAGTTTATACGCAGATATAGATTATAGAAGTATGAAAATGCTATATTGATAAAAAAAATTCTTATTTTATTGTTATGTGTATTTACATTAAACGAATTACTTAAAAGAAAATTGCAAAGCTGATAAGTGATAACTCATTAAGTCATTAGTAGAAATTCTTATTTATGACATACTCTCTCTTCTATTCTTAATTTATTCCAAGTTTTAGAAAAGAATTTTTTTAAAAAAATATATACTTTTTTAGGTTCTCTATACATTTTTCATTAGTTACTAATGATAAAGGGGAAACTTTAGGAAAAATAATTGAGTATTATTGGTTTAGATTTGTATTCAAGTTTTAATAAGTTTTCTTACGTGTGAAAAACTTAAAAAATATATTAATTAGAAAGATAAAACAATAAATAAATTGTTCATTTACTACAACAATTATTTTTAGAATATTTTTGAATTGGTAAAAAAAAAATAAAGTGATACTTCTCAAGTAATGGAAGCAGAGCCGGCTCTTTGCACAAGCCAATGAAGCATGTGCCTGTGGCTCCATAATATAAATGTCTTAATCGGCCCCAAATTTGTAAAATGTCTCGTTAGTCTAGTGGTTTAAGTGTTAAAAGATTCTATCAGGTATCTTGAGTTCGATCCCTCATAAAGACAGTTTTTACATTTTTTTATTTTTTTGCTTTGTTCACATAATAATTCAGCCCAAACATTAATTGGGCTTGTGGCCCCTATATTTACTGCGCCGGCTCTGAATGGAAGAAAACGATGAAATGGTTCTTATAGTTCAAATCCTCGATATGATAAGTCCTTTAGGAACTTGTGACCAATAGTTATGATGTAAATAAGTGTCCATTTTTGTTTACTGTTCCATATTTCTAATGCATCTAGTTTTTAGATTTTTCACACATTTTACGAAAACATATATATATATATTTTTTTTTTGTCGGCAATATAGATAGATTCCATTATAAAGGAAGAGTAAGTTTACAGAACAGAGTTTACAACTTAGAGAAGTAGAGGAGTAAAAAGATAGTGGCTAAGAAAACCAAGAGACAACATATGGGGAATTACAAATTCTGGCATTTCGAGCTAGATTATCAGCGAGCTGATTCGCTTGTCGATTTATATATTTGAAACGATAAGAGTCATGTGCCAATGTTGTAATGTCCAGCAGAAGTCCCTGGATCTCGTGAGGACCTATGGCATGCGGTCCAGAATGGGTATTCTTCTCCAAGTACCCAAACAAAGAGATTGAATCTCCGCAGAAGGTGACATTACAATAGCTGAGACGGCGTAGTTGGAGTATAGCTTCCTTCAAGGCAATAGTTTCTGCTTCCAACACATTGTTTGTGGGTTCAATTGATGCACTTCTTTGAAGGATAAAACGGCCCATTGAATCATGTAAAGTCCACGCAATGCCGCTTTTGCTATCTTGATTAACCCATGAAGCATCTGTGCAACAACAATACGAAAACATATTAAATGCATTTTTTGTGATTTACAATTTTCTGTAACTCTAATTCAATATTGTTTAACTTTTTTTTTTGAAATTTGCAACCCATCATCAATACCTAATATAATGTGCATCAATAATTTTAAAAATACAAATTTCAAAAGCAATTTTTTTCTTAGATTAATAAGAAACAAAGGAAAAATTACATAGGAACAACGGTTCATATTTATTTTCTTTGAATAACTTTTCCAAGTTAAATTTACTGTTTAATGAATCAATTTTCTACCTAATCCATAAAGAAAAAGACAAAATATAGTGGATGCCAATTCATTTATACAATTGAAATTAAATAGTGGATGTCAACTCAAAAAATAAATGAGTTGGCATCCACTAGTCTATATAATAAATAGAATCCACTAGTCCATATAATAAATATAATTTATTGTGATTTTTTTGATTAGAAAAGAAATATTATGACAATTGATATAGGACATCTATGATTTGATTTCTGAAGTTTTGGTATGAGTCTATCAGAGCTATTTACCTCGCCAAAGAGACTGATAAAATCTTTGGATTAGAACTGTTATATAGTCTCACATTCTACAATATTCAACTCTTCTTCATAAGTTTATATATCAACGGCCTGACAAAAGAAATAATATATGTAACGGCCTTTGACTTGCGTAGGTACATGTAAATTGACCGACCATATATCCTTGCCATTATTTTTTTGAAAATTTCAATTCTTCACCTAAGAGTTTCTATTAATTATGTAAAGAGCCCTTAAGTATTGAAAAGTCACGGATATGACCACAAATTTCTATAATAATCCATTTTGTGTTACAAAGTTGAATATGAAATTAACCACCAACGAAAGAATTTCTTTAATTTTAGTGTTGATGGAAGAGTATAGTGTAATGTTTTAAAACAATACAAGATGAATCATCATTAAGATTTGTATAATGTTTATGAAATTGGGTGGGTTAGAGTAATAAGAAAAATATGAGCTTCAATTGTGAGATAAAAGTAAAAAATGTTTTTTTTTTTTTTGGAAAAAATGAAACCTTGGCTCTTTGATTCTCTTCTTCGTCTTCTTGGACAAGTTAAAAAACACACAATCTCTGTGAACTGTGAATGTGATCGACTCCTCTCGTTTCAATTTCTGGTAAGGTTCTTCTTCAGAGTTGTTGTTTCCTCTTATCTCTTAGAAAGTCTTTTACTTGCAACAGATTCATGAACAGAGCCTCTCTGTATCGTCGTCTCTCTAATGTTTCGCTGCTCAAATTTCTCAGTGTTTCGCTTTCTTCGTTTTAGAGTTTCATTTGATCAGAACTTGGTTATATTCACTCGCATTTGGCTTCTCAGCTGAAATCTAGCCTTAGCTCAACTTCCTGAAGCAGCCGAGCTCTCTCTCTGCTGTGTTCTTGCTTGTGAGTACCTTTTTTGCATTCCTCTGTTACATTTTTATGCATGTGATCCTTCATTCTCTTGTGACTTTTTTATTTCTCAGACCTGATGAGTGAACTCGCATTAAAGTTTGATACTTTTTATGGTTATTGCACATTATCCATGGCTTTACATCGTTTTTGGTCTTAGCATTCGTTTTTGTTGGTTAAGAATTAGAATGAATGCTGAAACATTCTCTAGCTATTAGCTTGCTGTGAGGAAAAGATCTCGATTTAGAAAGCAACTAATCTCTTTCTCGAGATTGAAATTGCATTCATCTAAAGTTGACACTGATATTGGCAGGTTTGTTGTTTGAGGACAGTGTTAAATACATCAACTTTACCGCAGAAATGGTAATGTCACACCTTTCTTATCTCTCAGATAGTTGAAATTCTGGAAATGAGAATGGCAAAGAGTTCGTTTTTTCTTTGCTTAGGTGGAACATTCTGGTGGTGATGGTGATGATGTGAATTGGAATACAGATGATGATGAACATGAGATCGATAACTTCCAATTTTCTCCATCTTCTTCTCCTGTACATTTTATGACTGAAACCTCATATGGACCTGCTGAGGTAATTAGTGTTTACTGAATTTTAAAGATATACAATTCTAACTTGTTTCACGCTGCAGCAAGAATAATGTGGTTTTTGTTTCTGTGTATAACATTAGACAACCTCGCCAAACTTTATTCAAAAGGGAATCTCTGATGAGGCGGTTGCTAGTTTTATTGAGATGGGATTTTCAAGTGAAATGATAGCTAGAGCAATTGAAGAAACCGGTGGTGAGGCTATTTTCTGATTGTGTGGTATCTGAGATATGCATTTCTTAATTCTTTCAATCAATGAACTGTTTATAATTTGCAGGAGCAAATTCGGAACCTAGGATGATTCTTGAAACTCTCTTTAACTATTCGGTGAAGATTTCTATGGCTGAATTTGTTATGTTACTTTAGATATTCTATTTTTTGTCTTGTGGTTAACATCTCATGACAGTCCATTCTCTGTATCTTTGTGAAGGCAAGCACCGAAGCTAGTTCTTCGAAATCTAAAGTTATCGATCATTTCATTGGGATGGGGTTTCCTGAGGAAAATGTGATAAAAGCTATACAAGAATACGGTAATTACTAATTAGTGACATATCTCTTTGCTCTTTTTCTCTAGGAATTGGGAACTTTAATGAGGTTTTCTGAACTTTCAGGAGATGAAAATATTGATGATATCATGAATGCACTTTTAACTTATGCGGTAAGTAAACATTAGAGTTAGGTTGTATATTTATATTAGAATTTAGTAGTTCGTGTAATAAAGTGTTGTTACTGTTTTCTAGGAGGTTGACAGACTAGGTGAAACAAAGGACGTGAACATCAACACTACTGATGATGATGATAATCTCTATTCCTTATCATCAGATGATGACGAGGTATATAAATTGTTTTTTCCAAGTTTTAGACCTTTGCTAACATTTTCTACAGATTCTTTTACTTCTAATGCATTGCCCATGTCTTACATTTTAAGAAGTAGGTTGTATTCTTATTTGTTTTGAAAATGACAGGATGAACTAAACAACTCCTCCCAAGAAGATAGTATCTTGCAAGCGTTGATCAAAATGGACTATTCGAGGGAAGAGGCTGCCATAGCTATAGAGAGATGTGGTAAGACGTTTACATGAAGATAATATATCTCTTATCTTTCTGTTTAAGTCTGCAAGAAGTTTACATGTATTCGTCTCTCATAGATCCAATTACCGTCCTTGCAAGTATTCATTTTTCTTCTCAAACTTTTCAGGAGAAGATGCAAGTGTGGAAGAGGTGGTAGACTTCATTTGTGCTGCTCAGATGGCACGGCAGTTCGATGAGTTTTTTGCAGAACCTGATAAAAAAGAGGTAATAAGAGTTTAAGTCTTTTGTAGAAACTAAGACACCATCAAGTTATTATTGAATTATCCTTCTGCAATTCTGGTTGGTTTGATGAGACGGCTCCGGTTGTCTGCCTTAAAATTGTGATATTGATTAACTTCGTCCTATACTTGGATTAATTAATCGATGATAATTAGTTTTTTTGCTCTTATGTTTGAAGGATTTAGTCTATCCAGACCTCTAGAGTTTTCCTGGAACCTGTGTTGTTAACTTTATTTAGAACTTCAATTTTTGATTTCTTTATCCCTGCATAAGATCATTGTTCTGTGGCAGATGCATTAATTGAATTGTTGTTGCTCTTAACTATAGCTTTCAAATTACATGAGCTCTTTGGATTGTGAATTTTTGATCTTTGCCATCTTTTTACCTCGGACAGTCTGATTGATGATGGATGATATATATGTGTAACTCTGGATTTCCTTGGTCTTAGCTTTTCTTGACCTAAGCTGTTTTTGATTGGATTAGAGATTCTTTGGTTTAAGATTGCACTTTGATTTCTTGTTGTAGTTCTACTCCATGTTTCACTGTTCTATTTCTAAATCATCTTTGCATTTTTACTATTGCTTCCTCAAGTCTTTTAATGTTTTTTCCTGTGTTGATTGGAATACAGTCTTTCTTCCAGACTATTATATCTATCTTGTCACTTAACATGTAATTACATCAATTTGCTGCTCTTTGTACGTGGTAGACTTCATTTGTGTTGTTACTGTGTGTGGCTAAATAGAAGAACTTACCAAAAACGCACTGAACTTTTCCCTAGATTATGCAGTTTTTGATGCTTGACTCTTTGACTGTGCAGCCTATGAATAATAGCAAAAAGAGGCGAACATACAATGAGCCACCGAGAAGAGAGAGAAAGCCGAACACTGCCATGGCCAATGACCAGCTCATCTATCTACCGAAGGAGATGATTGGGTTTGGTGTCCCTAATAGACCTGGACTTATGATGAACAGAGCAGTCCCAGTTCCGGATATTGCTTGTGGCCCGCCCTTCTTCTACTACGAGAACGTTGCCATGGCACCAAAAGGTGTTTGGGCCACGATCTCCAGCCACTTGTACGACATCCTGCCTGAATTCGTGGATTCAAAGCATTTCTGTGCCGCTGCAAGAAAGAGAGGATATATTCACAACTTGCCAATCCAGAATAGGTTCCAGATTCAGCCTCAACCACACAATACAATCCAAGAAGCCTTACCCTTAACCAAGCGATGGTGGCCTAGTTGGGATGAGAGAACGAAGTTGAATTGTCTGTTGACTTGTATTGCCAGTGCTAAGCTCACAAACAGAATACGTGAGGCTCTTGAGAAATATGATGGGGAGCCACCTCTACAAGTGCAGAAACAAGTCATGTACCAATGCAAAAAATGGAATTTGGTTTGGGTAGGTAAGAACAAGCTTGCCCCGCTGGAGCCAGATGAGATGGAGAAGCTTCTAGGCTTCCCGAGAGACCATACTCGAGGTGGAGGAATCAGCAGAACTGACCGCTACAAGTCTTTAGGCAACTCGTTTCAGGTATATAATTCTATAACTTATAAATCAAGTCAGTTTTGGTTTGAAAGTCTTTTAGGGTTCTAAACATGTGGTTTCATTTGTAGGTTGATACTGTTGCGTATCACTTGTCTGTCCTTAAGCCTTTGTTTCCGAATGGAATAAAGGTTCTGTCACTCTTCACGGGGATTGGTGGTGGAGAAGTTGCACTCCATCGTCTCCAAATTCGGATGAATGTAGTTGTGTCTGTTGAGATTTCAGAAGCGAACAGAAACATATTGAGAAGCTTTTGGGAGCAGACGAATCAAAAGGGTATCCTGAGAGAGTTTAAAGATGTTGAAAAGCTAGACGACAATACGATTGAGCAGCTTATGGACGAGTACGGAGGATTCGATTTGGTCATTGGAGGAAGTCCGTGTAACAATCTCGCCGGAGGGAATCGCCATAGTCGGGTCGGTCTTGAAGGAGAGCACTCCTCACTCTTCTTTGATTATTGTCGGATTCTCGAGACAGTTCGTCACAAAGCAAGACAAATGAGGAAATGAGACCCAAGTTGTTCTGTTTTGAAAGGCATTTGTTACATGAATCGATTCTGCATATTCTTTTTGTTACTCTCTCACTCTGTGAGGTATATTTCTGCAAGAATATTTTCAGATTTTACTTAAGCAAGACAAATCCAAGTTTCTTTCTCTCCAAGTAAGTTTCTCTCCAATCAAAGCAAGCCTATTAAACCAAATCGAACCATTTTAAACCGAAGTTATAACATCACTTTGTTTTGTAAATTAAATCGAACCATACTAAACCGAAATTATTTGTTCTTGAGTTCGAGACGACGACAAGAGACAAGCTGTGGTCGTGAAATCGAAACCAGAGCCTTGGACTGTGTCTCTGCTCTGTGATTCACTTGTCCATTTTCGATCTTTGAAGCTGAATCTAGCGATTCCTCTATCTCAAGCTCCGACACTACTGTGCAATAAAGACAGTAGCAGCAGCAGCAACACATGAACTCGTGCAAATCCATTATCCGTGCCTCAATCTCTTCATTTCCATTCGTTCCTCTTCCAAACCCTAATTCCTCTATCACCTTTATCCTCCCAGTTCGCGCCTTTCCTCCTCTCTCCGTCCTCCATCCAAATCCATCATGTACTACACACTCTCTCTCTCTCACTCTTTCATCTAAAGTTTTAAGCTTTTGTTTTGAAATTCGTTATCTGGATTTCGTTTGATTTTAAATTGATGTTGATGATATTTTGCGCCTAACAGGCATTGGAACAGCTCGACGCACATTTCATGGAGTTGCGGCTCTTTCACCGGAAAGCTTAACGGAAGATTCTCCCAAGGATACTGTGAAGGACTTGCTAACAACCAATCGTGGCGACGCGTCAAGCATGATGAAGATGGAGCGGAGGTGTAGCTTAAGCGATGGTGAAGGTGATTGTAGAGGATCTTGGTTTCCTTACGAGGATAGGTTTAGGTGTGCTGAGGTGCATCTTAGTAGCCGTGAGGTGTTGGAGGCGGTGACTCCTCATATGATGGAAGAGAGGACAGATAGGTTCAGGCGTGTGGTGGAGAATCGAAGCTTCTCGGTGTGTCTTGTGGTTGAAGGTCTCTCTGATTTTGGAAACATTTCTGCTGCTTTCCGCTCCGCGGATGCGTTAGGGATTCAATCTGTACATGTTGTTTCCTGTGGCAGTTCCAAAAGGTGCCCCCTTTGAGGTTGGCTTTTTCTGTTTCTTTGTTGGTTCATAGGATTTGGGGTGAAACTAGAGATTCTTGCATTTTCTTGAAAATTTTATGAGTTGGAGTTTAGACAATGTGCGGTGACCTGAGATCATAAGCTGGTGATTGAAGTCTGTAGAAATTTTGATTGCATTTTCCTCCCAAGCCCAAGATTGATCATCAGTTGGCAGTTTTGTGTCTTGGATCATAGGAATAAGTGAGGATTCTTACATTTTCTTAAACATTGAATCTACATGGATTGTGAGTCACTAATTGGCAATAGAGATCTAATAGAAATTTCTATTACATTGTCCTCCTGAGTCCAAGATTGATCATAAGTTGGCATTTCTTTTTCTTAGTTCATATGAGATTGAATGGAGAATTGTTAAGGTTTTATTGAACTATGCAGTGATACAAGAGTCATAGGTAATATCTGAAAAGATTGATCATTAGTTGTCGACTGAAATGTATAAAAGGTTTGATACTTTGATTGCATTGTGTGAATTCATTTACCGTGCTATGTGTGTGAATGTGTATTATGTATGTGTAGGTATAACGGAAATCGCCATGTGAGTATGGGAGCTGAGAAATGGCTGGACATTGAGTTTTGGGACACACCTAAAGAATGTTTCAAAGTTTTGAAGTCTCGGGGTTACAGAATTGCCACAACTCATTTGGGAATGGACACGGTAAACCTCTAAAGATTTGTTTGTATCTTTTTTTGTCATCACCACTATTGATGAAGCAAAATGAATGTATACCCATGACATTTTCTTGGTGGTAATATCTTATAGGTTTCCATTTATGATATGGACTGGTCATGCCCAACAGCAATAGTTGTTGGAAACGAGGGCAGGTAATATCATCTCTCTCAGTTTGAAACTCGTGGGATTCATAGTTTCTTAATGGATTGATGGGGAATATGCAGGGGAATATGTGACGAAGCGTTGGAGTTATCAGATCTGCGTTGCAGTATTCCGATGAATGGAATGGTTGATTCGTTCAATGTCTCAGTGGCTGCAGGGATTCTGATGCACCACGCAGTCTCTGACAGAACCACTCGTCTGGTAAACCGATTGACACAGCTAGACAATCTTTTAAGTTAGCTTTCAGTTCAGATATATGCTTTTATAACATCTTTTATGGGTTTGATTTGAACAGGGAAGTCATGGAGATCTGTCGGAAGCAGAGAAGGAGATATTGATGGCTGAGTTCTCACTTCGTCACAGTAGAAGCTCAATTAGCATTGCTTACGAGTTCGCTAAACGTAAACAACACTCTTCTTCCTTCTAATTTTGAAACAGTTCTCTTATTCTTGCTGTTTTTTTTTCTTTTTTCTGTAAGAGTCCTACGACGCTGGCTTAATGTACAATTCCTCTTTAATTATCAAAGGGTTGTTGACTCAGTGGTGTTGATTCACCATTCGTCTGCATCGACCACAAACCAGCAAAGACTAAGCTATAAAAGAAAAAACCAAACAATATTTGGTTACTCACAACGCTTATGCCAAGTAGTTATGTATGAACTGAACAAACGTCGAAATGCATAGAAACTCTACCATACATCGAACTAATGCTAGAAACAGTCTAAACATGATAACATGGTCATATCATATTTATAAGTTTTTTTATTTCCGTGGCATCAAATAATTGACACAAATTGGAAAGCAAGCCCTAAGATAGATAAACACTTAAGAGTCACAATCCTAATAGAAAAAAAAAGAGCCTAACAAAAAGTAAAAAAAAATAAGTGCTGTATTTCTGTTGTTTATTTTTGGAACACATAATTAATCAATTAACATATCACTGCTTGTAGTCTGTATCCTTTCCTTGTTGCTGCTATCTTCTCCACTTGTTCGTTTCTTAGACTGATGCGACTTCACAAACTCATCGATTTTCGCCTTCAATGCGATGTCCGGTATCAACATATCCGATGTCAAATGTGCTCGGTTAAACGGATCGTGCTGCAGCAAAAGTAAGAGGATCAGATACAAAGCCAAAATCTTCAGAGAGAGAGATGTGACAGATTATCGATGTGTTAGATATGCTTACATTGTCGCTGAGAAGATGACGTTGAATGATGGGTCGATCAACTGTGATTCTTGAGCTTGGAAGAATCACTGGATCTCTCATTAGTGTGTACTGCCAAAAAAGAAAAGAAAAAAAAACAAGAACAAACATTAGTAGTGCATGGTATTAAGACAAGATTAAGGTTTAAATTAGTGTTTCTTTCAACAGATAAAGACCTGAATTGGGTCAAGGAACTCGTCTGGTATGTCGCCAAGTGCAGCTTCAGCATCCAGAGCTTCAGAAGCAGCAGCTTTGGCTTTTGTGCCTAACTCCATAAAATCTTGAATGATTCTTCCCTCTTCACCTATTCTTCTAAGCACATCTGCTCCTGCGTTGAATAGCTGCAAAAACCGGTACTTCTTTAGTTCAGTAGAGACAGATATATTATGATGAAAGAGGATTTGGTATAGGAAGGAGGATTTGACCTGTTCGTTATATGATCGGCCATCACTGGAAATGGCACCAGGGAATATGTTTTCCGTGTCTCCTCTTGCGAGATTAACATATATGCGAACAATCTGCAAAGTTCACGATCATATTCAGTCAATTTTTCTCACATATTTTGATGAGGAAACTTGAGTAATTGTAATCACTACTAACCTGTTTAAGTAACTGTTTTGGACGGAATTCATACTTCTCAGGATCTTTCAAGCTTAACGATTTACGCTGTGGACCCACGAGTTGTAGCAAGAAGTAGTTAAGCATATTGGCAACCCTCTCAACCTAAATAAGTACAAACAAACAAACTCTTCAGTTGGGTAATCATAGGGCAGGTTACCATTTCAGGAATAGGGTCAGGTTACCATCTCAGGTAGTAGAAAAGGGGCAGTGATCTCCTCGGATGTAAATGCAAGCATAGTCACATCTTCATTTGCCAGCTTCATGTCGATTCTAACAATCTGCAAAGAAAACCAAAGTTCTTAATGGCATCGTGAATCAAGTACGAAACAAGATATAAGAAGTGATAATCCAACTAACATTCTCCTGCGAATGGAAGAGTCTTGTTCTCTCCTGTCTCTCTTGAGTTGGTCTCTGCTCCCACTCTGCAGTATTCGACATCTCTGCCTCGATTTGTTTAATCTCGAGAATTTTGTTTAGACTTTCATCCAGAAGATAGATGCTATCATTGACTAAAAAGTTTAAGAAGTTCAAGTACACGCCCTTCTCTTCGTCTTTTGCAATCTGCAACACATCAAATTTGGTAACATTGGAACAAAATAGTTGAAGTTCAAAGTCAGGCAAGATCACTAAGAATTTACCCGTCTCCACGCATTTCGGTGACTAGGCACCTGCCAGAGATACTCTAATAGCTCAGCAATGTTGTGGCGAATATTGAACTTGTCATAGAACTGCATTTGGATAACTAGATTTCAGTTCCATTGAAAGTAAGAACAAATGGCTATTATGGCTTCCAGAGCTAACATATTCTTAAGTACAATGCAATAGAGAGAGAAGCTCATTACTCCAGGAATATTATAGCCACTAAACAAAATCTCTTGCAATCACCTGAGTGTGTGAACCCGTGAACTCAATGTCAACATATAATTTCAGTAAATTCCTGACAAGATACTCGAGTGATAACTGATGCCCCTCAAAGAGAGTAGACGTAGCAGAAGAAGAACTGCTGCAACAAAAAAAAAAAGATTTTAGATTGGTGGACTGCGTTACTGCAGAACTTGTTGCATTAGCAACACAAACTGACAAGGGTTACAGCTTTCTTGTTGCACCTTGAACGAGGCATCCAGCAGTTCAGAACTTCAACCATCTTTGCTCTGAGATATGGGTTTCTAATATATTCAGGACTTGCCATGAACATAATTATGAAGTTCATAAAGTCGTCCTTAAGAAAGAGAAACAAACATCATCAATGCAAGTACAAAAGGAGAATTTCTACAGACAGATGAGATCAAACTAAGCATACCAGCGGCACCCCGTCCAAAGCTTTGGGGATTCTTGAAGCGAATATCAGCAACTCCATTGCATCTTCAACAAAATGCTCAGGCATACAGGAGAATTCCATGGGGCAAGTTGACGGTAGAGGCATCTTAAAGCCACCAGCTAGTCCAACTAACCAAACAACCACTAGGCGATAGAAAGAAAGAGCTCGCTGAATAAAATCTCCATCCTTCAATACAGTATAGAGATAAGGCAGCTATTACTATCATGTTATCGGTCCAGAGGAAAAGCCAAAGATGTTCTCAGAGCAGAGAATATGATTACAAACCCTCAATATTTGGGCCTCATGGCAAAGCTTTTCCTGCGAATACAGCTCTAGTTCTTTTTCCATTCGGGCTATATCAAGTTCCACCTGTGGAGAAGGTGCTTGATCTCTCATGGCTTTTAGTGTTGCAAGATTATCTTCACCTCTCGAGATGTCCTACATCATGCGGAAAAGAGAAAGTAAATAACAATACAATAACAATCTTCTGCAAATTCAGGCATCAAGGACTCTTTCACAGTCAAAACGTGCGACTAAGTTCAAGTTTTTTTCTATAGTCCCTTCTCGTTTTAGCCGACAAACGCCTTGACAAGACAATATGTCAGGAACCAAAATCAAATAAGAACTTTCTGCAAGATTTATCACAAGTCGGTTTTTTCAAAAATCTTCAATATATCCAGGCCGGTAAAACTGTGATGATGATTACCTGAGCAAGATGTTTAAAGTCAGAGAGTGCTTTTAGGAGACCCAAATTGAGGACCCTCGCAGTCATAAAGAAGCATTCACAAATGAAAGTGTATTTAGTTGCTGACTTTGCATTTTGCCCAGAAGCATTACTACTAGAACTTGTGGCTTCTTTGGATTGTAACAAGCGACTTTCGTTCCCGTTTTCTCGCCCAGCACCATATACGTTTGCCATAGCATCTTTGCCAATCCACTCAGAAACTTCTTCGGATGATGCATGGAGAGCAGTCAAGTCGCTGGTGTGGATCATAAATAATATTGCTCATCATGAAATTATGAAAATCCAGTGAGGAAATACAAGTAGAAATCTTGAGGACCATACCTTAATTTTAAGCGATGACCACAGAATGCATATTTTGGATCAATCTTATCCCTTTTAGTTAAATGTGGGTCTAAAAATGGTTCACAGAGCCGGAGCATTACTGCACTGAGGTTAACAAACATGCCTGAGCTAGCACAAGAGACTGCATCAACCTGTCATACAAGATATACAGATTACAGAACGCTGGTTTGAGCAAAAGAGACACATACCAACTTGATGAAACCGAGAGGAGACTAACAATTCATGAATCAAGATTCAAAGCATATATTTATCTTATAAACGGATGATTACCTGTATATGGCCTCTCGCCGCATTTGCATTGATCACCTCTGCAAGAAACTGTAAAACACACTCACGGGTATCGGTACTTTTAAGTAAAATCATCAGTACATCATGCAGCCCGCTGTACAAAATGTTCATGAGATTTTTAATCGTGGAGAAGGATGATAATAAATCTGCGGGACGACGTTCCGATGCTTCAGAGAAACACTGCTGCCTGGTATTCACAAAAACCATAGACATATATTAGCATTTCCATAACAGGTAGAGAATATCCTCCGAGGTGGATCAGGAGAACCCTTATGTTCGCACAATTAATCCTTGTCAAATGTCAATGAACAATCAAGATTCTTCAGTACAGACCAGAAAAAATGCTCAAAATAATAGATTTCATCCCCAATATTCTAACTTAACATAGAGCTTACTAATATTTCTGTTGTTTTTGCCTCCACTGATCATCTAACTATGCTGGATTTATATAATCATGCTTAAAATATGTATACAACCTAACATTGCAATCATATAAGTCAAATATATCTGCTTCCTTCCTTTTTTGATCAAGTCTCTCTACTATGAGCAAAGCTATACAATAATTCTTACAATCCAAACTGTCTCAATAACTAAAGAACCCCAAGACTACATGATTCTCAGCAATAGAAACCTAGAAATAAGTTTCCAACTCACCCAACATCAGGATGACTCTTGAATAGCTTATTATCTGGCAGCGAGCTAATATGGAAGAAAGGGCCAAGAATGCTAGTCAACTCCATTGCTCGGCCGTTCATATAGGCGCCCCGTGGAACCCACCACTGGTGACTAACCAGAGATTTAGCTCCTACTGGTAAGCTAACAAGATACTTAAGTGCCCTCAATGGTGGCTGGAAATCTCCAAGCACTGATACATTTATAACCGTAGACCTCAAATCCTCATACAGCTCCTTTAGAATCGGGTCCAAGCTATCAAAATCTGAGTCTTTGAAGAACTCATCCAAAAACCCCGGAGGAGCCTGAACCCCACTGCTACTAGCTCCAAACATATCCAACGAACCAGA